ATTCTTTGCCATACTGATAAATAGATTCGTTGCAAAAAAATGATGGTGTTGATGATACCGAAGACGACGACGATGATGATGGTGATGATTATGATGATCACAATGAAGATGAAGATGACGAGGAAGAAAACAGTTGCGCATTCACAGTATCTGACAGGAGTGATCCAAATTTGGCACAAATTAAAATCGCAGCAAAATAGCCCCTTTTTGTGTCTACAGTACCCAATTTGACATCAGAGTTCCACCTTAGATAGGTTGAATCAATACATGGCGCCTGGGATCAATGGGTGCCCTGAGCCCTTGAGAAAGAGGGACAAGTTACCACCGTCTACCACCTGAAGATGCCCCAGGATGATGATAATAACAAAAACAACAAAACATTATCACTATCATCACCATCATCACAAGAAAAACAACAAATACTGGATTGTATACAGATTAAAAAAAAAAACTTCCACGAAGACCCTTCTCACCTTGAACTTCTCTTGATAAGTCTTCCAGTAAAAGGGCGAAGTTTCAGGTTCCTTCTTCTGCCCCGAAGCCTTGTGGAGGACGGCCTGGAACAGCGTCGGGAAGGTGTGGCGGCCGCGACCCGTGAGCCACAGGAACCACTCCCGCGCCAGATTCACCTCCCCCTTTAAATGTCATGAATACTAAGATGATGCTGAATAATGATGTGAACAATGAATAGATAAATGCTAGGAATGATAGAATGAATATTCACCTCCCCCTTTAAATATCATGAATACTAAGATGATGGTAAATAATGCTATGAATAATGATAGATAATACTAAATGCTAAGAATGATAAATGATGAATACTAATGCCTAAATGCTAAGAATGATAAATGAATATTTACCTCCCTAGGCGTGAAGGAGAGAGGAGATCGTTCAGAATGACAGTTTTAATCATGTAAGATGATGCTGAATAATGATGTGAACAATGAATAATGATACTAAATGCTAGGAATGATAGAATGAATATTTCACCTCTACCTTTAAATATCATGAATACTAAGATGATGCTGAATAATGATGTGAATAATGAATAGATGATACTAAATGCTAGGAATGATAGAATGAATATTCACCTCCCCCTTTAAGTATCATGAATACTAAGATCATGCTAAATAATGATGTGAATAATGAATAGATAATACTAAATGCTAAGAATGATAGAATGATCACCTCCCCTTTTCCCCTGCATACAGGCTCGGAATGAGTAGACCTCCCCCTTTAAATATCATTAATACTAAGATGATGCTAAATAATGCTATGAATAATGAGTAGATAATACTAAGTGCTAAGAATGATAGAATGAATATTCACCTCCCCCTTTAAATATCACGAATACTAAGATGATGCTAAATAATGATGTGAACAATGAATAGATGATACTAAATACTAATAAAGATAAAATAAATATTCACCCTCGTTCAGAAGAGGTCGTTCAGAATTGGCAGAGTTTTAATCATAAATACTAAAGTGATACTAAATAATGCTATGAATAATGAATAGATAAGATTAAATACTAAGAAAGATAGAATGAATGTTCACCTCTCCCTTTTGCGTGAGGGAGTAGGAAATGCATACAGGCTTGGTAGAGCTTTAAATATCATAAATACTAAGGTGATACTTAATAATGATATGAATAATGAGATTATAAAACTAAATACAAAGGTGATGATAGCATGAATGTTCACCTTCCCCTTGGCGTGAAGGAGAGAAGAGGTCGTTCAGAATTGGCAGAGTTTTAATCATAAATACTAAAGTGATGCTGAATAATGCTATGAATAATGAATAGATAAGATTAAATACTAAGAAAGATAGAATGAATGTTTACCTCCCCTTTTGGGTGAGAGAAGAGGAGGGCGTGCAGGCTTGGTAGAGGTTTGAATGCCATAAAAAAAACTAAGCTGATACTAAAAAATGAAATGAATAACAAATGAATAATACTAAATGCTAAGAAAGATAGAATGAATGTTTACCTCCCGTTTGCATGAGGGAGAAACGTTCAGTATTGGTAGAGGCTTAAATATCATGAATATTAAGAAAATGATAAATGATAATATAGATAATGAATAACTAATAAATAATCTTATCATGAACTGAGAAAATAATCATATGGTCTTATCCCCAATTTCCTCAAATTCATCTTTATAACAAGACGTTCCTTTCAACCAACATCTACATATCCCGGCCTTTCTTTAACAGGTTATATCAACTTCAAAGTGCCAGTAATATACCATCCGCCTCAAAAGAGAGAGAGAGAGAGAGAGAGAGAGAGAGAGAGAGAGAGAGAGAGAGAGAGAGAGAGAGAGAGAGAGAGAGAGAGAGAGAGAGAGAGAGAGAGAGAGAGAGAGACAAAAAAAGAAAAAAATGAAAAAGAAGAAAAAAATATTTGTCATTCACAAAATGTCATGACACGTGGCACTCTTACCTTCCTGTCCGTCATGTCACACGTCAGGCTCGGTTCCCCGCTGTAATCGTCGGCCATTTTGTTGCTCCACACCTGATAGGCGTCGCTCATATCTAGCGGCCACTGAGAAAAGAAAATTGATGATGATTGGGGAGACTGAGGACTATGAAATGATGATGACGATAGATGAAGATAGATCCCAATTTATTGACTGAGGACGGTGATATCGAGAATGGAAAATGAAAGATTGACTTTGATATAACGATTTACACAGGTGGTCTTAGAAGGAAAAAAGAGATGATTTTGAACTATTTGTCCACAATGAAGTGTTTACTTTCCTGAGAGCTAGAATTACATACTTACATATATATATTATTATCATTACAATTATTACCATCATTGAAGCTTTGTTTGTTTTTTTCCTCCAAGTTTGGTTTATATGTTGTATCAATATTCAAACGCACTTGAGTTTTTTTATGAGTAGTAAAAGTGACAAATAGCTATAGCACAAGCATTTATTGAAAGTTCCCAATTTATTGATATGTGAGAGAGAATTACATGCAGGTACTGTAGGTGAGATAAAATTCGACGTCATAATTTCCATGTTGTTCCATGGCCCCTAAAAAGTACCTCTTGACCTTCATGTGGTTCCATGAGTTTTTTCGGTTTGAAGGGAAGCCATGATAACAAACAATAGAAATAAATAAAATATATGTATAAATAAACGAAATAAAGCTTCTTCACTCACCATAACCCAAAGTAATAACTCATCACAGACATTTGCCAATTATTCTTAGACGATAAAGATAAGAAAAAGAATACAAAAAATGAATGAATAAAAAAATAAATAAATAATAGATGATAAAATCCATTCTTAGACGATTAAGATGTGAAAAAGAATACAAAAAATGAGTAAAAAGAAAAGATGATAAAATCCAGTTCTTTCTAAAAGCTTACCTTGGCGACGTAAGCAGCGTTGGAGTGATCGAGGAAATGCAGAACCTTGTGGAGCAGATTACGTAATCGGAAATCAACGGGGGAGAAGAGAGGGGAGTCTAGTTCTTCCGCCCACCTGCAGAAGGGCGAAAATTGCAAGCGTAAGAAAATCGGGTGAGGGTGAAAATAATGCTAAGAAGGATAATGGCGTAAATAACATAGAGCGAAGCAAAGGTGATACAGAGGCGATGGTAATTCACTGCCATGGTGAAGCTGCTGGTAGAAATCTAGGAATGATATAATGAAGATAACCACGATAAATAACAATAAATAATAATAATAATAATAATAATAATAATAATAATAATAATAATAATAATAACAATATATAATAATACTAACACTAATAAATAATACCAATCATAGTCAATGTAACGCAAGATTTTGCTTTTAAATGAGAGAAAAGCGAGGATGACATAAGGATAACGATGGTAGCAGTAATAAAAATAATTATAGGAGAATGGAAGTCGTGTAACAACAATGATAATTAGTGATACTGAAAAAATCATTAGTCTGTGTGTGTCTTTTGTGCGGGCGTGAGAGAGAGAGAGAGAGAGAGAGAGAGAGAGAGAGAGAGAGAGAGAGAGAGAGAGAGAGAGAGAGAGAGAGAGAGAGAGAGAGAGAGAGAGAGAGAGAGAGAGAGAGAGAGAGAGAGAGAGAGAGAGAGAGAGAGAGAGAGAGAGAGAGAGAGAGAGAGAGAGAATTATCTTGGTATTTCCGTTACTATTGCTTTATCTCGACACCTACCAATAAAAGTAACCTTTGCCTTATCGCAATATAACAATGCACATCTTTGTCCTATTACAACAGTATTGCCTTTTACCATCATTGTCGTTATCAAAATTCATGAAAATTCATTCTTTTCATCGTCTAAGACTAGGAATAGGAGTGGCACAGGCGTCCTTATCACACGAAAGGAAATCCGCTGTTATGTGTGTTCTGTTGTAGACCAAAGGATCACAAACTTCAAACAAACACGTATTCTTGTAACAAACACGCATTCTTAGCTCCGTCCACCGTGTATCTTTTGTAATATGAAGAGTACTGTTTAGACGTCTTATGAGGAATCACGTATGGCATAGAGATCTAAATTGTTTTATAATATTGCCGACATAAATAGGTCTTCCCTCCATAAAATTGATGAACTTTTAAAAATATTGTTGATTAAAATTGACTCCATCATTGAAATCCCTTCAAGTGCTTTGGCGATTTAGACAGACCCGCTAAATGAAAATTTGCTCATAACTATTTTTCAAACCTTCGTAGAATTAAAACAATTAGCATGGTAGTCAATCTCATCACTATCATTCATGTCATCACCTTTTATCATCATCACTATCATTACCATTACCATCATCATCAGAATAAGAAAAAACTTGGTTTGCTTAATCTCAAATTCTAAATGGTAATGTTCCTGATTGAAAAACGGATCAACGATAAATATGGCAATAGAATGTTAGCTATTTCTCTAACATAGAACCATGTCTGATATTTCTGTTAAAGTAACCTAAATCTACTTTCTGCTTTTATGCCTGCTCTATAAATGAAAACTGTAACGTATAGTTAGGAAAAAAACATAAATTGCTAAACAACTGTTGCAATGAACATGGTCCGTTGTTATTATTGTAAATGTGCTTATAATGTCTGCAAAGTTAAGAAACAATATTAAAGAGAGGTGGGGCAAGGTGTTCCCTGTGGATTCTGCAGAGAAAGTTTAGGAAGTATAGTTCATTTAATTACACAGTCTTACAGTGACCCTTTTCGAATTCTCATTATCCCACGTACACCAAACTAAAGCAACAAAACCTATAAATAATATTTCCCCCTCCTTCCTTATCATAATCTCTTCAGAGATGTAACTTTTTTAGTTATGCTCCACACTCCCTTTTTCATTACAACCCCTACAGAAAAATAACTCCCTTTAGTTATGCTTCATACTCTCTTTTCTCATTACAACCTCTTCAGAAAAGTCACTTTCTTTAATCAATCACATTTAGTTGCTTCCTCAATCGACCTGCGTGCCCTCTCACGCCAAATAAACAACTCACCAAACTTTGGTCTTGGAAAGTTCCGTTTTCTCTATCTTATCCATGAGTCCCGTTGCATCCTGTGGCGCCAGGACTTGCAGCGAGAGGATGAGGTCCTTCACGCAGCGTCCGAGCGGGCCGGCGACAAGGACTCCTCCCTTCTTCAGCTTCTCGGTATAAAGACCAGCGCCTTCTAACGATACCCATCCTGTGGAGGATTTTTTTCTCGTAAATTTATGATTTCACTGTGATTTAATCCTGTCTATTGTAATCATAATCGAGTTGATATCTGGAAAATAAGCAAAGTGGAGTGAAGCATAAATATGTTGCCTATTTACAAAACTGATCAAAAGTAGGACTTGTTTGAATCCTCTCTCTCTCTCTCTCTCTCACTCATCCTCCCTCTTCTCCCTCTCTCTCTCCCTCCCTCCCTCCCTTCCCTCCCTCTTCTCCCTCTCTCTCTCTCACTCTTCTTCTCCCTCTCCTCCCTCCCCCTCCCCCTCCCTCTCTCACCTGACGTGGGTTTGTGTCCGTAGACCCCAGAGCAATACGCGGGAACCCGGATGGAGCCTCCCACGTCCGTCCCGATACTCAAGGGCGACCCGCAGCTCGCCAGCAGCGCCGCCTGCGTGAGGGACGTGTGGGTTTTGGAGATGTCTTGCAAATGGATGTTTTTTTTAGATTTGTGTGTTTCTGCCTGATTTGATCTGTGTCTTTCTATTATCACTCTTCGAGGCACAAACCACGCACAAAAACATACATATATATATACACACATACATACAAACGACACACACACACACGTACACACTCACACACACACACACACACACACACACACACACACACACACACACACACACACAACACACACACACACACACACACACACACACACACATATATACACACACACACACACACACACACACAACACACACACACACACACACATATATATATATATATATATGTGTGTGTGTGTGTGTGTGTGGTGTGTGTGTGTGTGTGGTGTGTGTGTGTGTGTGTGTGTGTGTTGTGTGTGTGTGTGTGTGTATGTATGTATGTATGTATATATGTATATATATATATATATATATATATATATATATATATATATATATATATGCGGTTAAATTCCTGAATACATCAATCATAAACAATACTTCAAGGCTAACACATTAGATCCCCCACCATCCTACTTGACCCGCACGAACGAAGCCGAAGCCAAAGTCAGCAGCCCAGCCAGCGCCTTCGGACTCACCTCGCCCCCAGAGGACCCCCGGGCGTCCTGGAGGAGTCGTGGGCGCTGGAGGTCCTGCCGTAGACCCGGTTGGCCGTCTCCCACCAGAGGCCGAGTTCGGGCACGTTGGACACGCACATGGGTATGGCGCCTGGGGTAAGGGGGGGGGGAGAGGGGGTAGGGGGGGGGGGGAAGGGGGAGGGGGGGAGGGGGGAAAGGTTGAGAATTTTGACATTGGTTGATTGGGTTTGTTTGTTTGTTTGTCTCTTGTTTAGTTATTCATTTGTATTTTCTTGGTTTTATTTTTTTTAACTTGTCTTTATTTATGTTTTTTTATGATGAAAAAATATTAACATAATACGAATAGATGAATTGTAAATAGAGAAATAAATGAATAAATAACCTCCTCCTATGACAGACAAAACAGCAATAACAACAATAATACAGTTAAATCAAGGACTCAGACCAATACAGCAAATGAATACAACACAACTTACGAATCCAAAATAAAGCACAAAGAAAATAAAACAAAAAAATAAATAGATAAATAACTAAATAAGCATAATGAATCAAACAGATTAAAATAAACCGATATTATATACAACAAAATGAAAAAAATAAAGAAATATTTAATAATTAAAAAATAATAAATAAAATACAAAACTTGATGAAATAAAATAAAAATACTGAATAAATAAACAAAAATACTGAATAAATAAAATAAAAAATGCTTATTAAATAAAAGAAAAAAACATAAATGAAAATACTTAATAAACAATATAAAAATAATAAATAAAACAAGACAAAACAACAAA